CTGTTCCTAGCTGTGCTGTGGATTTACTGTGTGGCCTCTGGCAAGCTGGTTAACATTCATATCTCAGTTTATTGTGTTCTCCTCCCGTCAGTGCTGTGCTGTGGCGTGCAGGGCTGAACACTGCTGCCTCTGAAGTGCTGTAATGGAACATGGAGGTGGTAGAAGGTGACATGCCCCAGAGTGACAATCCGGTTCTGGTGATGAGGGATGGTCACAGACCTCCTTGCCACGGACACCTGACTGCTGCCAGATATGGGACTGGGGATGAGATTGCTCAGTGCTCCAGACTGGGCTGCTGGAGATGAAGAGGTTTCATGGAGTTGAGCTGCTTTGGAGGAAGGACACAGCATGGAATAAATCAGTGAGCCAAGCCATGAAAGCATCCATCAGCCGCAGCCCTCACACCCCAGTGCTGCTGTAGAAAGAGATTGTGGCTGTCATTAGCCAGAGAACAGAGGATAGCCCAAGTCCCTCCACTCCCTCCCTTTGAATCAATGATCATTGTGACAGAATTGTAATTTCTGGCCGTGCTCTGAACAATCTTTGTCCTTACATCCTTCTTTTCTGCACCCCTTGTCCCCACACTGCGTGCCTGTTGGCTGCAGCGACCCCAGTCTTGCTGCTTGGGACAAAGAGAGAAATTTTAATTAACAAGCTCTATTTTCTCCAGCCCTCTGCCTACCCCTCCAGCCCTGCTTTCTGAGCCCTGCCAGGCTTTTCAGATGGCTCTTCCAGGTCTGGATGTGCCCTGACAAATCTAGGCCAGGCTGGCTGCATGCCTGGAGCTGCAGCAGGGACATGGAGGGAGCAAGGAGGTCCCCAAGAAGCAGGGGTGCAAGTGAGTCCCAGAGCACCTAGTCTAGGCCCTCTGTAGGAACGGATTTTGGAGCTGTCACGGTGGTCACTGTCCCTCTCAGTCACTGACAGCAGTGTGCTCAGCGAAGGACTGAGGTTTTGCAGCTGCTCTGTGCTTCCCCCCTTCCCAAAGGCTGAAGCTTGCTGACCCAGGGAGCAGCTCTCTGCCTCGCTGGGAACCATCCCTGGGTCCCAGCCCTGCCTTAGGCTGAACCTCAGCTGGAGGAGAGGGTGAGGGCAGGATCCAGGCAATGCCCTGTTTCTGCATCCCTTCATGGCAGACCAGCAGACAGGAAAGGGCTTAGGGTAGTATTTCTGCCTCCTCCTGGTCTGGCCTGCTGTTTTGTTCTCCCAAAAGCAGCTGGCTCTCAGCTCCAAGGATTTTTCCGTTTAGCCTGGCAAGCCCACTGGGCACGGGAGCATGCACCTGGCAGCAGCCTACACATATGCCAGCACTTCCATTAGTTGCTGGAACGGACCTCAGTCCACTCCTAGCAGCATCCCTGCAAGCTCCAGGCAGCCCCTGGAGTAAGAATATTTATTATGACCATTTTGTCTCTTAATTAAAATGCCTTAATTGATTTTTAATAATTCCACTTTGGAAAAAAACAAAGGAAACCAAATCAAATAATAACTCCATTAAGGCCATTTTGTTAAGAAGCGAAACAATTCCAATAATCATGATGTTCCTGGCTCCTCTCAGATGGTGGGTAGCTGCCAGTCTCCAGCGAAAGGAAATTGTCTGAGATGTGAACACAGGAACTGGCAACCAGTTGGTGGGTGAGATGGAGAAAAAGGGAAGGGAGTGTCTACTGGTCTCACGCCAGGACTTGGGTACGGAAGATAAATGGGACAGGCAAGCCACAGAAAAGGGGATAACAAGTGATAAAGTCATGCTAGACAATCTGGAAGGTGTAAAACCCAGACAGAGAGCAAGCAGGGAAAGCACAGCCACTGAAAGTGTGCCCAACGCTTGCTCTGTTTCCTTCACCGACCTTGCTCTTCTGGCAGTAAGGTTTGCTTTGGGGCCAGCTGCAGCACGGGTGTCTGTGGGCTGCTGCTCCCTGTGGGTCGGGCTCTGTTGAAGAGGCTGTGGCTGTGCCACCTTCCCGGGGCCCTGCATGTTCCCCTGCTCTGTTTCCCCCTGTGTTGGCTCCGCGGGGTGGCTTTGGGCTCCTCTCTCCTGCCTTAGAAGTTGGGACCTCCCTTTGTTCTTTGGGGTTACCTTTCCCAGGCTGGGGGCAGCAGTGTCATGGAGGTCTGAAATCACCCTTAAGCAAACCCTCACCCCAGCAATCCACCCATATTTCCCTCCTGCTGCTTAAAGCTACCTTCCTGCCCTCTTAGCGGTAGCTATATGGTTTCCATTATCATGATATCTGAGCTCAACAACTTCATTTACAGGAATCATTAGCATAAATCGGTCAGCAGAGTTAGACAAGTTTGGCAAGGCAATGGACATGGAGAGGGCAGGAGAAAGCAAATGTGCAAGCAGGGGTGGTCTACTGCAGGCAGCTCTTTTTCTGGACCTTGGCAGGGGCCTGGGTTTGCAGCCGGCCAGGCAGATTCCTACGGGCAGCTCCCAAGGGGGAATCCAGCGCTGGCTCTGAGGAGTGACGAAAGACCAAGCAGCCTTTTATTATTCCTTGCAATGTAAGTGCTGCCACTTTTATAATCTTGCCACCATTATGTTACGCTGTTTGTTTAAGGACCTAGCTGAAATGCAGGTGTTCTGCACAGAAAGCATTCTCCCTTCCCAAGGACAGGCTGTCCTGAAACATTTGGCTTGCAGGGCAGGGGACTTGCGGGAAGGCCACCAGCACCCAGCCAGCAGTGCTCCCATCTCACCTGGTACAAACCGAGATCAATTCATTCCTTAAGGACTCTGAGAAGGTACCTAGCACTCTCCCTCTAATTCCCAGCTTTGTTTAAGCCCTCTGCTTCCCTCCCGCAGTGGCAGGGCATTATCCCCCCTCTCTGCAGGTCAGAGAAAACATGATGCTCAGCAGACGACCCTGTTCGGGCAGAGCGATGACTTTTGCTCACCTCTGATCAAGTGCACAGTGGGAATGGGAGCCCCACACACAGTGCTGGGGAGAGGGGATATGTGAGGGGCCACGTCCACCCCTCTCTGCATACCCCAGCAGCAATTCTGAGACACGGAGGCTGAGAAGGAGCCAGTAACAGAGCTGGATTTTCTCCTGCTGTGTTTGGACTGAATGAAAACCCTGCCGTGACAACACTCGGCTCTTACAGTGGCACCAAACGCCAGCCACGGGCTCCAGAGTGAGTCAGTTCTGGCTCATCAGTCAGGCTCCGTGCTCCTAAAGCCATATTCACGCAAACGTTTGAGCAGCACGTGGCAGGAGGCTCACTGACGCTGGGGCTTTGGATCTCGGGCCTGTTTGTGCCTGGATGCTCAGCAACAGCTCTGCGGGAGGCATGTTCACAGCTCCAGCAGTTTGCCCCCTGCACATGCACATCCCTGCAGAAGCTCCATCCTCGGCAAAGCCGGAGGATGCCTGGGTGTCACTGACACTGAGGGGACAAACAGGTTCTTTGAGGAATCCTTGGCAGAATGATGATGGCACTAAATCATGGTTACAATTAAAGCCTTATTTCCTTAACAGGATATTATGATTAGTATAGCGCAGAACTTAAGATTGAAATGGCACAGGTTTTCTACAAGCAGAATCAATGTAGTGCAATCTACAAGTAGCATAATACAGAATTTATAATACAACTTAAATTATGATTTCTAATCACCTAAGTAATACAAAATTTATAATACAACTTAAGTTATAATTTATAATCACCTGGACTCTCTGCAGATGGGGTCAAATCCTAATGCATGGTTTGCTGTATCAATGTAACAATGATAATCTAGACTCAAAAATCCTATAAAAGAATACGAGTCACTCACTCAGTCCTCAGAGGAAGCAGATGACAGTGGGGGTGTCCCTGGCCATGGGGGGTTATGGGTCTCAGTGTCCAGCAGTTCCCCGGTCCAGCAGTTCAGACTTGTAACTGCTTGATTTTATGGACAGTGCTGTGTGTGCTGTTACGCTTCCCTGTTCTGCGATGGGGTCACCTGGCTTGGCTGAGTGCCTGGGACCTTCAAGGTCGGCAAGGAAGGGAGTAATCGTCCTGGCACCTAGGAACCTTGAGGCTGGCAGGGAGGGGAAGAAAAAAACTGTTTGGTTTGTCTAGTTGGTTCACAGGACCTTCAGGGCCTGATAACGAGGGAAAGGGAATGAATATGTGACCCAGTCAGTCACAGAGAGTGGTGTTTACCGCATAAAATGGCATTAGCTATGTTAACCACATTACCAGGCGTTGGGAGCAGGGGGTACTGGTCCACTGGGTTGAGTTGGGTGCTAGCATCACTAGCAGAGGCAGTGGTGGAAACTCATGCAGAGACAGGGCGACAGATACTTTCACCTGGAGAGGTGAGAAATAAGAAAGTGAAAGAAACTGGTACACAATCTGGAAATAAATCGTTATGGGGAGGTGGAGAAGAATACCTTGAATTTGAGAGTGTCTTGTTGTTTTCCTCCTTTCCTAGTTCTTAAGGAGTTAGGACTCAGGGCATTTTTGTAGGCAAGTAAATCTCATCAAAGGTGACTGACACCATCATCAATTTCTTCTATCAGCCCCAAGGGGTTCCAAATTTTTGGCTTGTTTGAAGTGACTTCGCTGTTTTGCAAAGCCTAGCCTGAAGAAGCAGGAGCAGCAGTGTGCAAAGGGGCTCCAGGAGCAGGAGATCTTTTCAGGACCTACCAGTCTGGCCCTGGCTGGTTGAGGGTTTTTTCTCTGTTCGATTCAAATAAACAGAATCTCAGAAACTTGTGTAAAAGGTTGCATTTTTCCCTGACCTTTCCTTGAGGAATTGGTGTTCAACTGATCCTAGGCTCTAACAGGAGGTGTAAGAGAGCTGAAAAGCCACTCAGTGTGAGGAAGGATGGGGGGTAAGGGAGAAGGAAGAAGGATGTAACCGCTGCTGCTGTTTAGCCCAAAATGCTATGTGGGCCATGCTCTTTGAGTCTCAGTTCTTGCAGATGCTCTGCTGTCTCCCGTGCTCTCACTTCTGCTGTGTCTGTGTTCTAGACCTCCTGCTCCTCCTGATGGAAAGTCTCAGGCCAGGCATGGGACCGTTGGAGGAAGCCAACAGCACCCTCATTGTGGAGAAGACAGCATTAGACGAGAAGCTGCCGCAGGGCTGGCATGCCAAGGACTTTGTCACGCTTAGCCAGGATCACTCTGGGTCCCACAGTGTTATGATGGACAGCACCAAGATCCTGGGGGTTCAGGTTGTTCTGATTGCCGCCTACTCTCTCATCATTCTGCTGGGGTTCATCGGCAACTCCTTGGTCATCTACATCATAGTGAAGTACAAGACCATGAGGACTGTCACCAACTTCTTCATAGCTAACCTGGCCCTGGCAGATCTGATGGTGGACACACTCTGTCTGCCTTTCACCCTAGTGTACACGCTGCTGGATGAGTGGAAGTTTGGAGCTGTTCTTTGCCATCTGGTTCCTTATGCTCAAGCTCTGAGTGTCCATGTGTCCACTCTCACCCTAACTGTGATTGCCCTGGATAGGTATCGGTGTATTGTTTTCCACCTGGACAGCAGGATTTCCAAGAGGCTCAGCTTCACCATCATAGCTGTCATGTGGCTAGCAGCAGCTGTCCTAGCAGGTCCTCTGGCCATCTTCAGAGAGTACCGATACGAGGAAATCCCATCCATCAACCTCAAAATGGCTGTCTGCTCAGAAAAATGGCCTTCTGGTAATAACAGAGATGCCACTATCTACAGTCTGTCCATGCTCCTCCTGCAATATGTTTTTCCTCTTGCAATTATTTGTTATGCCTATACCAGGATCTGGTTCAAGCTGAAAAACCATGTCAGTCCCACTTCTAGGAATGAAAACCAGTGCCGGAGGAGGAAGACAACCAAAATGCTAGTGATGGTAGTTGTGGTATTTGCAGTCTGTTGGCTCCCCTTCCACATATTCCAGCTTGCCATTGATCTCGATCTGGTTCTTATCTTCCATGAGTACAAACTCCTGTACAGTGTCTTCCATGTCGGGGCCATGTGCTCTACATTTGTCAACCCCCTGCTCTACGGATGGATGAACAAGAACTACCGGAATGGCTTCCTTATGTTCTTCCGTTGCCAGAACAAGCCAGAAAGCATCCACACTGAAGGCTCAGTTAGAGGGAGGTCGTACATCTTCAGGGCCAACACTCTAAATGGGAGCATCAAACAGACTCCTGGCAATGGACCACTGCCCACAGAGGTTTAGGGATGGGACATCCACTGCCTGGACTGAGGCTGACTGAGCTCAGAGACATTCTTGGGTGAACGCCTTTTTTTGGCAGAACATTGTGTTGCCAAAACATTATAGCTACCGCAGCCACATAGAAATACCCCCCTGTATTTCTCAGAACAATAAATCTGGTGTATTTCTGTCTGACCAAACAAATGAATTTTTCCTTTCTCTGCATTCAAGTTATGCATGCAGAAGCATGAAAAATGACACACAGAGGAGGCTTTCATTTAGGCAGCAAAATACGCCCTTTTTGCTATTTCCATTTGCCAAAGTAGGTTGCTCAACCTTTTACCCCCTGACATATTACACATTACAAATGCAGAACCTTTATTGTATATGCGTGCTCATCTGTACGTCTCCTATCCAAAAGCCTTAATGATCCATCTTTAGCTAATGCTTCCAAGGGGAGGGAGACCTATACTCTTCTGCAAATGATTAGTGCCATCACTCCACAGGCCTGGGAGGGGAACGGGCTGGCGCAGGTTGCGGCTGGACAATCCATGATCTCTTGCACAGCATTTGCATGAATCTGCATTTGCAACCCATGAGATGAGCTCTCGTCCTCAGAAAGCCCAGGACTGCTTACCGCAGTTTCCTTTACAAGTGCCAAAGCAAGGCTTTGAGGACACCTCATTAGCCAGGGAGCTGGTGAGCCAGTGCCCTGGATTTAGCAAGGAGGAGAGCAGGCAGAGAAGCAGATAGGAAAGGAAAGAGTTGGGGCAGCTGATCAAGAGGACTGAAACTGAGCCTAGGGGACTCGCAAAGGTGATCTCCTCCAGAACCTAAGATGTGGCTCCTGCCAAGCAATAACTTGATGGGTGCCAGCGTGACCAGAGAGGCAAAACTGCCAATGACACCATTCTCCAAGGCACTCAGAGGGTTTTAAAGCTTTAGTCTTTCTGGGGTTGGAGGCAGTGTGGGTCTGTACATGGGTGCTTCCTTTCAGAAGACAGATGTAACCAGCTTGCATGGTTGTTACAGATGTGGTGTCCTCTGGCAGAAGACGACATGGAGACAAAGGAAGATGCATTCTTTCAAACCAAACTGTATGTTCTCCTCCCCAAGGCTGTGTCAGCTGGGGAGCGTATTTTTAGCTCTGCCATCAAAGGAGCCTTGATTGCTACTGTGATCTCAGCAGCTCGTCATTGGTGTTGTCTCTAAAAGTCAGTGTTCATCAGATTGGAAAGTAACTCCCAGATGCAGGAGAGAGACTCAACAGACCTCCTCATTAAAGATAAAAAGAAAATAAAAACTTTGATTTGTAGGTATTCACTGGAGCAAGGACAAGAGGTAAGAGGACTTGCAGTACTGAGTATACCAGCCTGGATCAGGCTGCTGGACTGTCACATCTGGAGTCCTCAAGAGATGAATAGTCAAAGGTCTTATTTGAAAATCTGGGTCTCCTTCCTCCTCTCCAACTTGACCTGCCTCTGGCCCTTGTTCTCCAGCTCAGCTTCCAACTGTCACACTAGATTTTAATCTCTATTTATTTCTGCTCTCTGATCCTCTGCTTCATTTTCCCAAATAGGTACGAGAAAGTGGTCTCTGGTTCCTTCCCAAGAGACATCACTGCCAGACAGGGGCTACAGACCACACTTCACGCTTGGAGGCATGGGGATGCTGATGCCTAATGACCTCCCCAGCACCTGATCCTGCAGATCACAGCTCGTTTTTCTTTTCAGGTAGCTTCAGGATCTATGAAGATTCTCTCAGGAAGTCATTGATGTTCCAGTAAGAGGGTTATCTGCTCCCTGACAGGCCAAAGCACGATGGGAGAACCAAGACACAAGTAAACCTTCCCCATGTGAAAAGCCATGGTGTGGTGGTGGGAGTTAGCTGTTTCATCCTGATGGAAGGAGGAGGATATTTTTCTCCACAGCACTGCTAAAGTCTGTCCCTACCTAATGAGCTGGTAATTTCTACAATCCATCGTCCTGAGGAACTCTCCCCATGTTTCCATCAAACTCCAAGATACAAGGAAATGTGTATGTTTCAAAAGCAGCTTGAATGAGTGGAAAGAATTCAACTATTACCAATAAACACTCCAGAAAGTGATTTAGTACTCAATAATATATGTCAGAGTAAAATAACACATTCAGCAACGCAAGCTTGGAAGACAATCATGCTGCCAGCTGAGATGGATGAGGAGCTAAATTGCTCTTCTAGGGGCCTTGCCAAAGGTTTTGTCCTGTGATACCACACACGGTATCTGACTGCGGAGCAAGGCAGATAATGATGTTATGAATGACTGTTTAATTTTGAGCCTGGACTTTTAAACTAAATACAGATAAATAAATAAATAGATCCCAACTCTTCACAAATAAATACTGGCAGTGGCACTTATAAGGCAGCGGGATTTTTATGCTGGAGCAAACTGAGAAGGAGAAACTATTTACTTGAAGTGTAACAGCAAAGTTCCGTTTGCTTTATTTAATACACTTGTGCAGCTTTACTGATAGATTTCTACCTGCAAGCTTGCTGCTTTTTCCTTGCCATTGGAAAAAGTTACAACCTTCCATACCCACTTCTGGCAGAGAAATCAGCCCCTGGTTGTGTATACACGTCCCTGTAGAAAACCACGGTACCTCTATTGAGGGAAGGTGGCCTGAGTGTGCACTGCCAAACAGAACAAGAGAAGGTTGACAGCAAGGAAGCAAAGCTTCTTACCAAAGGTTGATTTGGGCAAATAAATAGTATGTTATAGACTGTCATGACTGCATAGAAGACAGGAATGAATTTGTTTCCATGAAACAGAAAACTGTTGGAGATGAAGGTTCCCCAAATATTAACACTCCACTGAAGATGGCCTTACTGCCATGATCAGTTCCATGAAACCAAAGACCAGAAGCATTTAAAATTTTTGAACTATTTAGAGCTCAGGACAGGGTATGACCCTGCTCTATTGGTGTCAAGGGCAGATCCTCTAGTAGTTACAAATATTCTTGGAGTCAAAGGCATCTTCCCATTGCCTGCTCCTTGCCAAAGGTGCATCAGTGAATGCCTGCCAAGCTGGGCTCCCCTCTGCAGAGCTGGCCCTGGTGTTACTGACATGGGATGGGATGACTCATGCCAATGGGACAACAGCTGATAGGGATAAGGTATTTCATTACAGAATTAGAAACACAGTGACAAAAATGAAAATGAACAAGTGTTTCATCAAAGCTTGTCTGGAGATAGTGTTGTTCCTGGTGACCAAATGAATTTCGTCTAGGGCTCTTCCCGATTCTTGCCGACATCCTTCTCAAAATGCTGCTTCACTGAACTGACCCAAGGATATTTCACAGCTTTTAGGAGAGAGGTTCTGAATTCCCTGAGAAACACCCTATTTCTCATGCTGGGACACTCTCTCCGGTCACATCATACAAATATCGTATTATAAAATGTACCACAGAACAGTTTTTAATTTCCAAGTGGCCCCTAGCAGGTGATTAACTTTGAATAGACACCACAGGTGGGGATGCCTCTAACTATCCCATGCAACCATTACTCACATGCCAGACAAATGCAAGAACAGCTGAGACATGGCAACATCATCATTTAAAAACAGCAGCATCAGTAACTGTTGTTCCCTTTTACAGGCTGCTCTAAGAGCTCTCAAGAGTCCCAGAGTTTCTTATCAAAATTTCAGGCTTGAGAAAGCACATTGAAATTTGTGGAGCAAAGGCTGTGCCTTGGACACAGGAGGCTCTCTGAGCAGTAGAAATTTTGCCTCTAAACCAGTTAGTTTGCTCTGAAAACCCCTCCCCATTTGATTTCCAAAGCACATACGTCTGTAGCAAGCTAATGCACGTAAAGAGAGGAAAGGTTTGGGCTTTTTACTTTTCCTTGTCTTAAGGCAATACATACAGCTGGCATTTAGATCAATGCAGGGTGAGCTGGGTCCTTCGGTCAGGGCTCTGTTAGAATCAAAGACGTGACACACTCCTGCGTATGCCTGTGCTTCATCCTGCTCCTGTAGAGGCCAGATCCATCCCCTCGTGGCTCTCTGCCCTGCAGTAACATGTGCCCTCTCCCATTACCCACGGCAGCCCAAGCAAACAATGTCAAATGTCACATGTTTTATTCAATATGCCCACAAATGTATCGGCAGAAACATTGCTCTGAGCTTTCCACAAAGGCTCTGTAGGGAAATACATACTAGACCAGGAAAGAAGCAGTTCCTCTAACATATGCTAATACGAGAGGGGCTGGAGTACTATTCTGCTGAAGGAGGTCACAGACAGCTCATCGTTTCCCTTGATACCAGGTGTTAATCTTATCACTGTTACAGCTAACATGGTCTGAAACCAAACTAGGCTTTGTTTGGGCAGGAGCTGTGGAGCTGGCACTTTCTTTGCATGCCTTTGTCTTTTGGTTCTGTTATCGTGTGATTTCACCAGGGTCTCTGAATGTGTTGGGTTTTAAATAAGGCCTCAGGACCAGCTAACCTGGTGAAAATCAGGAATTACTGCAATAATCCAGCAAAAAGAAAGGATTCTGGGTTCACATGGGTGAGCAGAGTTTGGTCCCTTGCATTTGAAAAAACAGAGCTTTTGTCTTCCTTTCAGTTTTCCCTTATCTAGCTTGAGATTCTTCAAGTGCCAAAAATAATATTGCATATTACTGCCAGAACATTTATCTTCTCTTTGAGCTCATTTCAGAAAAGGGATTTGTTCAGGAGGGCCTGGGAGGGGAAGAAGGCTAGGTTTTTAAAGCTCATCGTTATCTCTAGCCTCAGTGTTTTGTAAGTTAAAAGACAAATCAGAAAAAGACAAAGTCACTCACACATGCCGAGGGAGGTACCAATTTATCTTCAGACAACACAACCTCTATTTAATTTTCTATCCAGACAGCCCAGCACCCTTTGCCAAAGTGGTGTATGTATATGGGGCTGAATGAGGTTGTGGGAGGAAAGCATTTTTCTGCTGCTAATAGCAATACCTTAGTGTCACTCATGATTTATAGCCAGCAAAGAACGCTTTTTTCTGGTCTATGTTCTGCTCAGTGTAATGAGTACAGAAGGAATAGTACGGATGCCTCATGGAGCTCACAGGAGGAGATCTTCATTAGTTCAGTCCTGTCCAGTGTGGTAGCAAAGACTGTGAACATTAGAGGAGAAACCTTTTTGTTTATAACTAGCTTATTGAAGTGCACAAGCATGGAGTTGT